GGTCCTACCACTGAGCTATACCTCTAGACTTGTTTATTTATTTAGTGAGAGGGTCTTGTTATGTTGTCCAGATTGTTCTCCAATTCCTGGACTCAAGTGACCTTCATGCCTCAGTCTTCCAAGTAGCTGGGACTACAGGTGAGTACCCCTGTGCTTGGTTATGTTTTATTCATTTATATATGTATGAGATATAGTACATTTAATGATGCTAGATTATGGGGATGGAAAATAAGATGGCCAGAGGGCAGGAGAAGTAGCCTATACTGTATATTCTTGCAACTTTTAAATTTAACTATGTGACCATATTACTTATTAAAAAATAACAATAATAACCAGTATTGCTCAGGATACAGAGAAATAAATATCTTATACTCTGTCAGAAGAGATGGTAACTAGTTCTTTTCTGGAGAACAATTCAGTATCAAATTCCAAAAGCCTTCTGGGGCGTGGGCCTAGGTACTGTGTTTCCTTCTGACCCCACAACTACTTTTCCATGCTTCCATGAATTTATCCTGAGGAAACAATCAGTTGTATGCAAACATTTACATAGAGATGCTTGTTACAGCATTATGATACCAAACAGCACGGTAACATTAGATGTTAAATTGAGTACATTTCTTCTCTGTAACGGAACACTGTGCCAGCTGCAGAAAATCACATTGTGGTGGAAAATTTAATAACATGAGAAAATGGGCACAGTAAATTGTTGAGGGGAAAAAAGGCAGGTTACAAAACACTAAGTGCTGCATTATCCCAATTTTGTAGAAGGAAAACACATTTTCAGAGGAAAAAGTCTGGTTGGATGGGTATAAGCAAAAATGTTAACAGTGCTTATCACTGGTTATGACCTTGTTCTTACTCTTTATACTTTTCTATATTTTCCAAAGTAACATTTATTACTTTTACAGAGAAAAAACAAGTACTATTTTTTTAAAAAAGAAGAAAATAGCAGCTCTCTATAAAATTGCAAAGTATCATAATCACTGAAATACCAGCTCCATAGAATAGGAAGTACATCTCCCACTACATACAGAGAAAAACCTTACTTTTTTTGTCAGATTTCACTTTGTCTTCTACCTGTTTTCCTTAAACAACTTTCTTTTTTTTTTTGGGGGGGGGTCTGGTCATGGGGCCTGAACTCTGGGCCTGGGTGCTATCCCTTAGCTCTTCAGCTCAAGGCTAGCATGCTACCATTTGAGCCACAGCACCACTTCCGGCCTTTTTCTTTTTGCTTATGTGGTGCTGAGGAATCA